TTGTCATGGCTTTTATCCCAATAACCAAAACTATGTGAAAGCATGAAACTACCCATAAATATATTTTAACGCTAGACACAATCTAAGAATTAAGGTAATCTATAACACGAAGCTTTAAATTTAAAATTACAATTTAAAAAAGATTACAATAAATTAATTACTTTTAAATTTTAAAAAAAATTTTAGATTACCTATAATTTTAAGCTACTAAACATTATCTACTTAATATCAACTTGGACATTTTGAACTCTTACCATGAAAGGTTGAAAGGAAATCTTTAAGAAAGCACGCGGTAAAGAAAAGTCTAGAAACTACTTAAAAAGTGTATTTTACAGATACAGAACCGTACCGTAACTTTCAAACAATACGAGTAACTATGTGCACTATTAATAATAATAATAATAATATTCATTCGGCTATTCATTATAGAGGTGGAATTAAAGACATTTATTTAATGAAAAGCTTCTAATATTCTAAGCTTTCATTCTTAAACTCAAAAACCTTTTTAAACTCAAAAACTCAAAAATTCTGGAAATATTTGTTAAAATTAACGTGTTAAAATTAAAATTACAAGCTGGTATATAATAATACCAATAAATTAAATTGCGTCTTATAAAACACTACATTCATAGTCATAGTTTTCCTTTTGCTTGTTAACATTATCATTTTTACATCCTTTACACTTGCACATATCAGTACAGACAAGTTTGTTTTTCAAATATTTCCACCTTTTATTACTACAGTCTCCTTTAGAATGACAGACGCTCGATAAGTGCTATTGTTGCTAGCAGCTTATCAGTTATTATGGGGTCAAAAGATCCATCATTTAGTTCCCAACCATACTCCACAGGTGATGGTAGATACTGTACGGGCATGTTAGAGCTTTTAAGCACTAAAAATACAAAGTTACTACGGAATATATGGTACTTAAGGACATTCATTGTTGGCGGAAGTTGTGCAGCGTCATACTGAAATTTAGAGAAAAGAAACCAACGAAGTTGAAATTCAGATTTCCGCCAGCAGTGTTGTTTTTCATGTCAATATCAATAGCAAAGTGCAATGGCATTCCTATTTGAAAATTAGGAGGTACAAATGCGCATTGATTTGTTGATAAGTTTGCGTTTCCTAAACCATTTTTGATATTTATAACGATATCATATGAAATAGAAAGTCCAAGATATGCCAAGCAGTTTACTAGCTTCTTATTAAGAGTTTCTTTATGCACATTTAATCCAAGGCCGACTGATTAGTCCTATTTTATCATCAAATATAGCAACTTCTCAAACACACTTTAAGTTTTACGTTACCTCAAATAACAATAGTGTTATGTCTAATCTTAAACTTACGGAAAAAGAATTATTAGACGCAGTCTAATACATCGTCTAAGTTATTATTATATATGTTATCTATGTTATTAGACGCAGTTCAGTACATGTTAAAGCCCAATAAAGCGTAGGTTTCGATGCTATAAATAGTAATGTCGTTATTAAATCAATAAAATACATCACAATTCCATTATTACATATTTTTAATTTATCCTTAAAACATGGCGTTTTCCAGAAAACCTAAAAATCGCAAAAATCATTCCAATTTTAAAATCAGGCGATCCTTCTGAAGTTGCAAATTATCGTCCAATCTCAATTCTTAATTGTTTTTCTAAAATAATGAGGGAGTTAAGTATAATAAGCTTTATTCTTTTTTTAATTAAAATAATATTCTTTACCATAAACAATTTGAATTCAAATTTGGCTATTCCACCAATCATGCAATCATTAACCTTGTTCAGGACATTTTTAAATCGTTTGATGAAGACAAGTATAACCTAGGCCTTTTTATTGATTTAAGTAAAGCTTTCGATACAGTCAATCATCAAATCTTTCTCTCGAAACTCAAAAGTTATGGTATAAAAAATACTAACTTGTCCTGGTTCGAGAGTTATTTGATTAATAGGAAGCAGTATATAGTATATGATAAAGGAAGAATTAATTATGAGACAATTAAATGTGGTGTTCCTCAAGGATCAATCTTCTATTTCTCGTTTATATAAACAATTTAAATAATTTTTCTAACATTTTAAATACAATTTTATTTGCAGATGATACCAGCTTGTTTTATTCCAATAAAGATATCAATATATTATTTCAAACAGTAAATAAAGAGCTAGACAAACTAACCTTAACTAAATTTAAATCATACAAGTTATCTTAAAATATTACTAAAACAAAATACACTTTATTCCATCGCCTACATAAAAAATAAGATATTTCCTTGAACTTCCGCACCTTTTTATTGATAATCAATTAATAAGGAGAGAGCAATTAATAAAGTTTTTAGGTGTGTTTTTAGATAAAAATGTAACCTGGAGGGAACATATAGGTGTAGTTAAAGATAAAATATCAAAAAATATAGGCATAATGTACAAAGCTAAGCAGTTATTAAATCGATCTTGTTTAAAAATCATTTACTTTTCTTTTATTCATTGCTACTAATGTTATGCGAACATTGCTTGGTGTAGCACTAACGCGACGAAAATAAAAAAAATTGCTTAGCAAACAAAAACAGGCTGTAAGGATAGTTTCAAACGTAGATCGTTTCTCACACACACAAACACTATCTAATGAACTCAATATCCTAACTGTATATAAACTAAACCTTTATCATGTTCTTATTTTCATGTTCAAACTTGATAAAAATATATTACCAATCTTATTTTATTTTTAAAAAATAAATCACATATACCCTACTAGATTTCAAAATACAGCTACATTCAATCCAAAACTTATTCTTCCGCTACTAAATTCTCTATTGTAAACCGAGGAACAATGTTGTGAAACTTAATATTAAATAATGAACTGAAAACTAATTATTCTCTACACCAATTCAAAACAAAACTTAAGCAATTACTTTTGTTAACTGAAAATGAATTACATTTTTTCTAATAAAGCTTCTTTAAATTAGAAATCAATAATTAATAGTTAATTAATTACTTTAGAATATTAATACATAACAAGCAGTAAGCAACCCGTAATACGGGTTGTTAGTAAATTAAATTAAAAAAAAACCGCGTATAGAAAAGCCTAGAAACTACTTTAAAATAGAAAAGCCTAGAAAATGACGCTTCGAAGACCCGTTTCCTCTCCGCGTACATACGCATTATTTTTTTTTTCAAAATTAACTCGATTTCTTTTTTCTCTCTTATAAAGAAACAAAAAAAAAAAATTGTGACTGAAGTCAGAAAAAAAAATTCTGATTTGTTACACACGCGAAATTCAATGTTTTAAAAAAAATAAAATCAAGTTTACGCTCGTTTCAGAGGCTGTGACTCGTCGCATTTTTAGGCAGCGCGCGTCAACAACTGTTGGACACCTCTCCCCCCCCACCTCTTTGTAAACGTTCAAACACTTTTGAGAAACTCCCTTCCCCATACCTGCGTACGTACTTAATGGATGGTCCCTTAATGCACGGTATTGTAAAACAAAGGTTTTACAACGAAGCAGAGGAAAACGGAGTAAAATGGGGCAAGATTGCTTCTCATATTAAAACTCAACAAAAACTTAAAAATGGGTAAAAACAAAACTTTATTTACATCTTGAATTTTAAAGTGTTATTTTAAATATTATTAAAGTAATCTTATACGAATATGTTTATTTTTTGCGCTTAAAAAACTTACCCTGGTTTCGGTTATTTGTAATAGAAGGTGTCCTTTGGTTGTAACGTTTTTAAGAATACTTTTTTTGCGACGTTTATTTTGTTATACTTCAGTTAGAGTAGTTGACAGGCGTAAAGTTTCAAGTTAAATGCTTTTCCGCGGTGCTTTGTGAAGACCTCTGAGAGCACCTTAATAACCACATAATAATAAAAAAAACGTTTTAAACAAGTTTAAAAACAAAATCTAAGTGGTTCAAAATAAATAATTTATCTCTAAATATTGATTAAACTAAACACTCACTTTTCCATGCACACTCAAATAAATGAAGATTACTAATTCCAATGCCTTAGTTAAAGTCGACAGTATTGTCATAAAAAACTTAAAATAAAATTTTAAGTAGATGAAAATCACTCTAAGCAATTGCTCAAAGAAAGTAAAAGCTTTTAACGTTTTCTAACTAAACATATTTAACATTTTTTGCTTTTATATTTAAATGTAAGGAAAATGCATCTAATGACGTTTTGCCGAAATAAATTTGGTCAATTTTCTATTTTTTGCCAGAATAAAATATTTGTAACTTATATCAATTTTTCTTTTAATTTTAAATGTAATTCCTTCTAACAGAAGTTAAGAGAAATTATTTTTTTATTAAAAAACATCTTTATTTTTAACAACCGTATCTTTTATTTTAAACTCGTTAATTTATATAAATGTATATCAAAAAGAAAATTGTAAAATTATCATGATTGCTGAAATCTATAGACTGTGCACGTCATCTATATGATCTTGAAGAAGGCCTTTCATTATTTTTTATAATATGTATATTAAATGCTAAGGTAAAAAAAAAAATTAATATAGTAAAAAAAAGATAACATAACCAAGTTTTTAAAAACGAAAATTTCAAATAACACTATGTAATCAATTATTTATTTAAATGTCTAAAATTATTAAATACTAAAAAATTAAAAATTGTTTTAAAGATATCATACAGCATTTATCAATTTACAACTAAAAATATAAATTTACTTTAACAATTTACAAAAGACTTTTTCAACGGAATCCGATTTAAATCGCCTAACTATAATATAATTTTTATTTTGGGTTGCGATGTTACTTGAGAATAATAAAATATATAACATGTGTGTCAACTAGTTTGCGAAAAGATAAGCGGAGTCAAGTAAGCTAATTAATGTTATCAAAAATTTATATAAAATAATTTATTGCTATATTTTATACAAATATTTATAAAATTATTTATAAATATTTATATAAAATAATTTATTGCTATATTTTATACAAATATTTATAAAATTATTTATAAATATTTATATAAAATAATTTATTGCTAAAATAATAAAAAATGTTTTAATTTTGATTCTCTTTCATTCGTTTGCGAATTTTTTCAATTTTTTTCAGATTTCAATTTCTGGGCTTGAACATGATTAACTTTTCAAATTCTGTATTTCCAAAATAATATTTTGACACATTAACTCGTAAGCATCATAATTGTTGCAACTCTTTAATGCCATAAGAAAATCTTGTATTGTTGCAGATGTTCGCATTGATAAAATTTCGATCAACATTTCTGTGGGACTATATTGATTTGGATGCATCATAGTCTTCACGATTCTGTTGACATCTTCTTTAGAATTACACAACTCATGAGCAACATCTTTCCAGGGTTTTACATTAGCGTTAAAACTGATAAGTTTATAGCTAAAATTGGTTAAATCTGATTTATTAATATTGGAAACTTTTACTTCGTCAGATAATTTTAAACTTTCTAAAAACTCTAGTGCGTGATTCAAACCAAGAGTTTCCAAGCAATTGCACAAATCTTTGACTGCTAAATATGGTTTACTATGTTTCAAGTCTTCAAATACTGACATTGCGGGATTTCCACCACCGTAATTGGCAAGTAGAACCATTATACGGTCGTTTTCGGGTAATTGAAAATAATTCACAATATCATACAATCGTTCACCTTGATCCAAATTCTTACTTAAACTGGAAAACCCTTTACAAAAGCCTAAAAATAAATTGCAACTTTTTTATTTTACTTTTTATAGTATTTTCAATATATTCCACAATAATATTAAAAATTTTACGGTTTTAAATATTTCTATTCTAGTTTCTGTAAAAAATATGAACGTTTCTGATTAATAGAAAATATTTTGCTCGATTAATAAATAAAATCAAAATTAAGCAAAAGCGTGGCTACGTCAAGTTAGGACGATAAAAAACCTCATTTAAATGTTAGTGGTTGCTTCCATCTGATGCATTAAATGATGGTTGTGTGCAGCCAAATAGAAAAATGAAGAAATGGCGAATAATGATATAAAAAATACAATAAAAGTTTGAAAAGGACAAAATAAATAGCATCAAAAAAACATTTGTAACATTAGTTGTAAATTAGGATACTTTTGACCTGATTTCATAGAATTGATTTTTTCCTTTAAAAAAGAAAATAAATTCCTATAGAACTACCAAATTTATGAGTATACATTAGAGGGGTCAATTTAAGTCGTAACCTACAAATAAAAAAGATCATTAAAACAAATCATTAACAGATTGTCTTTTGATATAAAAAGAATTCTCTTCTTCTGTATATATTGTGTAACACATATTTTATAATCTCTGAATACTTTTATATTTAAGTGCTCCTATAAACAGTAAGTATTTATGTATGCTTCCTTTTTTTTTCTTCCACTTTCCTGTCCTTAAAGCGCAGATGAAAATTCTTCTTTATCTCCAAATATTTCCTAATATGTTTAACAATGCTCTCCAAACATGTTTAATAATGCTCTCCAATGCTTAATAATGCTAAAACGTTTGAGCATTTCAATATACTGTTTATTTCCTATAGATCTGTGTGCTAAAGTTTGTCATTTAAAAAGAGAAAAAAAACGCTTTTTAAGTTGAACGCTTTTTAGGGTTCAGCTCTTTTCAAACAAAATATTCTTTTGGTCCCAGGCCATCAAATTTTTGTTTACATTTTTAAATTACTTTATTAAATAAATAAAACTAAAAGAAAAGGGTTAAAAATATTTGCACATAAAATAATTATACAAAAAAAAAATATTATAGATTAAACTTAAGAAAATTTTAGTTTATAAAAACAACTGACAAAAAATATCTTTTTTGATATTTTAATAACATACTTTAGTTAAATTATTCAAACGTTTTGGCATTTATTTTTACTAGACACTTGATTTAGTTATTGTTAATATTATACCACAATTTAACAACAGCTTTCTTTAAATCATCTTTTTTCGTAAATAATCTGTTACCTATTTTTTTATCTAATAGACCTTAAAACAAGGCTTACGTTGTACCGTTTGTAAACAAACTAAATGGCTTCTAATAAAAAACCTATAAGAAAATCATCTGGCAAACAATGTGCTGCCTATAATTGCTTCAATCGAAGCTTTATTATCGAATTTGGAGAACGAAAATCATCTGGCATTAAACTCTTTATTTTCCAAAAGATAAAAATGAAATTTCTCTTTGGTGCAACATGATAAAGCATAAAAATGGTTTAGATGGTTTTAATGTTACTAACTCATCATATTTATGCTACTCTCATTTTAAATCGCAAGATATTTTAAAAGCTGCTGGAGGAACTAGATGTTCTTTAAGGAAAGGTGCTAAACCATTACTTCATAGCTGAAATAATTTCAAAGCAAGTGAAAAAGAAAGAAAACCACCTGGTTATAGACAATCTCTATCAAAACAAGTAGTAACTCAAATAGAGAATCACTCCTTTTGAACAAATTACAAATAAAACAATTGCAAAATGAAAATAAGAAAATAAAAGAAACAACATCTAATGAAGGAAATAAATTTGTTGAGCATGTTCTATCATGTGATAAAAATTAAAACATTACACAGGATTTCTGAATCGAAAAACATTTGATGCAGTTTTTATATATCTTGACCCCGGAGAAAATGGAGAAAACCTTATTTTATACAACAGTAAGCATTCACAAGAAAATGAAAAGAGGGGGAGAAATCGAGTTCTGTTACCATTAGAAGAATATTTATTAACTTTAGCGCGATTAAGAAGAAATTATGATATTAGACATTTAACATTTCTTTTTTCAGTATGTGAAGGTACTGTAAGTAACACTGTTATAACATGGTTGAACTTTATGTATATAAAGCCTTTGCATATGGCCTACATTAACTCAAGTAAAACTAAATATACCTCAGTCAATGAAGGATAAATATCCCAATGTTAAATGCATCATCGATTGTCTCGAAATAAAGTAGCCGTACCTCAGTCATTGACTGAACATAAACTGCTCTATTCTGACTATAAAAGTCACACAATTATAGTTTTTTTTTAGATTTTAGTTTTAGATTAGATTTTAGTTGGCATTGCCCCAGGAGGTGGTTTTACTTTTATATCTGCTGCTTACCCTGGGAGTATATCAGATAAAGAAATGACGATTAAAAGTGGACTTTTAAATTCAACTTTATGGAATCAGGGTGAAGAAGTTATGGCAGAGAGAGGTTTTACTATACATAATTATTTAAAATTATTTCCGTTCGGAAATTAATTCGGAATTAAGTTGATTATTCCATCATTTCTTCAAAGTTGCGAACATTTCACTGAAACAGAGGTGATACAAAGTCAGCAAATTGCAAGTGAGCGCATTCATGTTGAAAGAATGATTCAAAGACTAAAATGTTTTCATATATTTGATTGAGTTATTCCTCTAAACATGATTGGTTCACTCAATCAAATAGTTACAGTTTGTGGAATTTTAACTAACTTTCATGAGCCTATTATAAAAAACGCAGATAGAAACTAATGGATAAAAATGTGTTGAGAGAAAGACAAAAATTTAACATCCAATTGAACATTTATACATATCATAAAGAACTACAAATAGATTTCTTTTATATATATATATATATATATATATATATATATATATATATATATATATATATATATATATATATATATATATATATATATATATATATATATATATATATATATATATATATATATATTATTATTGAGTTGTGTTGTATTCTGTTGGATTTAATACAGCTCTTTGTCGGTTTAAGAGTGATCGATATTTATATAATAGATCAAAATATATTAAATATTTAAATGAAAAAAATACGACTTTTCTATGGGACTTCAAGTTTCATGCCATTCGGCAATCATTCAGCCATATATTTAAAAATCATTAAAATAAAAACCGTTATAAAAATACAAAATTGCGTTGCAACGAGATCATACGTCAGTTTTCACGCCAAACAGGAATTTATTTAACCGGTGTCGAAATTCGATAGCAAAAACTTTTTTCTGTGCCTACATGCTGAAACCAATTTACTTTTTTTATTTAACAAAGGTTCTTTATTATATGTTGAAATAAAATATTTCTCATTTATGCAAAGATTACATCTTTTTGAGGATGGGTTATAGGGTTGACATTTCTTAACAATACTCCACTTGATTATTGGTTTAATGCCTGCTTCCTTAAGTTTCCAGATCTCTTTAGAAAGTTCAGTGTCATTTTTATACCTGACCAAGTTGAATGATTTTATGTGGTTTGCAAACCTGATCTTGAAGGAGTTTTCGCTAATACCAATATAAGATTTCTTAGCGTGGTTAACATTCGCTGGTGTTACGGTAGCTTTGTAAACAATATTTTTAGTTAGACATTGATTTTCTAAAGGACACACAGCTCTGTCTATACAGTTGCATTTTCTAACGTTATCGGTATTTTGGTTACGCAAAATGTGTTGGTTGTGAGACTTAATAATAGTACTAATATTTGGCATGCAGCTGTAGCTTATTTTGACGGTGTTTCTGTTAAAAATCTTGTGTAACCTGTGGTGTGCTGGGAAATGTAAGTCGATTAAGTTCAAGAAAAGGTTTCCTAGTTTGGTGACAACATTCTTACTAAAAGGGGGATTAAACTATATGATGCTTCATTTGCGTTTATTAGTATGATGATTAGTTTTTTGTAAATTTAAATTAGGACAATATTGGATATTGCTGCTATGTCCAGACTTTATAAAGGCTTCTTTGTAAATAGAAGAAGAGTTTTCGAAAATTATTTTGCTGGAGGAGTTTGATGATAATCTTTGTTCAATAGAGGTCGGCAGCTGTTTTAAAATACTTGGTGGGTGGTTAGAGCTGGCATGGATATAGTTTAACAAACTTTCAGGTTTATGGTAAGGTTTGAAGCTGCAGTCATTAAGATTTAATGTAATATCAAGATAATTCACAATTTTTATGTTGCATTGAATAGAAATATTAAGGCTGTTATTTTTAAATATCTGAGTTATATGTTTTTTAACTTTTTCCATTTGTGGACCGCTGGCATTTTTAATTACGGCCAACCCATCATCTCTATACAGCCCAAAGTCAAACTTGTTATAAAATTGAGAAATTTGGAAAAGAAGGAAAATTCAACCAACTCACGTATCTCGGCACCGTCAAACGCTCCCATGGCGACGTCAAATAAATCACCTGATTTTTTTATCCAAACTGCGTTATTGTTAAATAACAAGGATTTCCAAGCGTGTTGAATCAAAGATTTGTGCTCGTTTGTAATGGTAACATACTGTTCAGCAAAGCAAATAGAGTCGATAAGAAGTTTCTCGGTAATAGAAGGATAAAAGTCAACAATATCAAAAATGAGGAATTTATAAAAATGTTTGTCATTGATGTTCTTGAACCATTTAATTACCTACTGTGTGTTACTCCACTGGTTAATACATAAAATATTTCTTAGCTGGTTGTTCATTTCGGATAAAATTATTTAATATTATTTAATTATTTAATGTTATTATTTTATATATATATATATATATATATATATATATATATATATATATATATATATATATATATATATATATATATATACAAAAATATATATATATATATATATTTATATATATATATATATATATATTAGAGTGCCACTAAAAAGAACTTTTTTTGAAATTGTCTGCTGCCACCCCCTAAATGTGTTCTATGTAATAAATTAACACTAA